TCAAGCACTGTGGAATCTGTTAGATCTCAAGTCCCCAGCAGCAGAGTGGCAGGAACTGCGCTTCTCAATAGTCACAGATCTTTTCCTCGTGATGCATGGACCCCATATGGAACTGACGCTCCAGTGGGTTTGCTGATAAACGAGGTACCGCAGCACCTTCAAATGTGTGTGTTGCTTGAAGAACCATCTAGAGAGTAGCCAGCAGTGGGTTTGTGTCTTGCTGCCCTCACCAAATTGCATTATGCTATCCAGGAAATGCCCCAAAGGATGGTTTTCACTTCTATGTGTTTGGTTTTGGTGGGTGAAAGCTGGTATTGAACTCGGGGCCTTGCTCCAGATAGGGAAGCTTTTGTCCAATTTGAGCCATACTCCTAGCCCTTTAGCTCTTAGTTGGTTTTTAGATAGTCTCCAGCTTTTGCCTGGACTGGCCTCAAACCTTAATCCTCCTATCTCCACCTCCCCGGTAGCTGGGATCACAGGCATGAACTGCTACACTCAGCCTTAAAGTGACACCTAATGATGGGAACAGGTTCCTCTGGACCAGACTCTTATAGAAAATGGAATTCTGACATTGTTCTGAGATGAGATGGAAAGATACACAACTTATACTGCCAAGTCAAAGAAATGACTGGTTCTCCTGGAAAGGAGCCATTTTGGTGGCTAGTTAGCTGAATGATGACTGCTAAAAGGTGGGTTTTCCTCAGGTAAGTGCGAGCTGGTACACTTGTGGGCACACGATTAGGTTGATGGTAATGAGCTGCCATTCCCCAAGTCTCTCAAATTTCTGTTCCAGTCTAACAAGATAGTTAAATGGGAACATGGGCCTTGATATCCACTGAGGACCGTGGATTGCCTTTGGTCTACTGCCACCTTAGGGAGGAGGTATTTGAGGAGTGCGGGCTTGCTTCTTCCTTCAAAAGGAGTGTCCAGCGGGCCACTGTGAGACCAACTCCAGAACAAGCTTACGTTTGTCACTTGGTCTCCATAAGCCTCCATGTTGGCTGTAGGACCAATGACTGGCATGAGCTGCATGCCCCCATGCCTCTCACACACACAAATCTGTTTCCGGATTTTCTTTTGGTGAAAGCTAGGAAATCAATTTATCATCTAGTCAATGGCCTCGCCTTAGGGAATTTTCTTCACTCAATGTCCATTCACTTGAGGAGCTCCAGGTAGTACTTGGGAGCCTGAGGTCCCAGTACCACTGGAACACACCACTTCAAGTCCTTGTCGGAAGCTGGTGGCTCAGACCTATCATCTTAGCTACTCAGGACCCAGAGATCTGAAGATTCCAGCTCATTACCAACCCTGGTAGAAAAGTCAGTACAGCTCTTAGCTCCGTTTAACCAGCAGGAAGCCAGAAGTGGAACTGTGGCTCAAGTGGTGGAGCACCAGCCTTAATCAAAAAGGCTAAAGGGAGAGTATAAGGCCATTGGCTCAAACCCAACATATTTGAAATCTGGGGACTCCAGCTGAGTGGTAGCAAGTTTGTTCTATTCCCAGCACCACAGAAGATCCAATGTTTATGTATATGCATATATGTGCATATACACACAGATAGATGCTAGATATACAAACTGTATATGAACAGCACTCTTATTGTATAATATTCAGATGAGTGTGTGTGTGTGCATATATATATATATATATATATATATATATATATATAGTATATGATCTCCATAATGAGGAAATTTGAACAGAAACCATGAAGGTGAGGCCAGTCTGCTGCTGACATAAGGCTAGCTATCATGCCAGTCTCAGCCTCTCTCCACTCCCTCATTACCAAATCGCTGGTAATGATTATTCCTGAAAGACTGGTTCACAGCCTAGTTTTCTCACAGGGAGGGGCAGTTAATTTAAATAGGATACCTCACAGATGACAAAGAACTGCAACTGAAGCTTTTGTCGCCATGGAAAATAGAGAGAGGGGGTGGGGACAGAGAGGGAGAGAGATCCAGGATCACCTAGAGACCTATCTGGAAAATGTTTATGGGCCAATGTTATGCTTCTTATAAACTCATAGTCTTGTATGTGAACTGAGAAAGTCATGTCAAGATCCTGTCTTTTCACAAATGTCTATGTTAGTTAAACCTTCCAGGGTTTCTTTTTATATAGGACAGCTTTTAACATGGACATGTTTGAGTACTGTGTGGCTGTGACAGGAGCTGCATTACATAATCAGGCCAGTGTGGGCGATGTGTGTTAACCTGCACCGGGACTCAGAGGAGCCACTGCTTTAAGGACACAGTCCCAGGAGACCCTGGCCCGTGAGAAGGAAGACAAAAATCAGTAAATGCAGCCGGTGCTGCCTGTAATCTTCGCTACTCAGTAGGCTGAGATTTGAGGATGGGAGTTTTGAAACCAGCTCAGGCAGACAACAAATCTGTGAGATTCTTATCTCCAATCAAGCACCCCCAAAAAAGGCACAACTGGGGACCAGTGGCTCACCCTATAATCCTACTCAGGAGGCTGGGATCTGAGGACCTCAGTGTGATGCCTGCCTAAGCCCAGGCAGAGAAGTCCATGAGACTCTTCTTTCCAATGAACCACCAGAAAACCAGAAGTAGTGCTGTGGCTCAAAGTAGTAGAGTGCTAACCCTGAGCAAAAAGAGCTCAGGGACAGTGCCCAGGCCCAGATTCAAGCCCCACAACCAACAACAAAAAGGCAGAAGTAGAGTTGTGGCTTAAGTGCTAGAGCTCTAGCCTTACCAAAAAGCTCAGGGACAGTGCCCAGGCCCAGAGTTCAAGTTCCAGGCCCTGCTCACATTACACACACCATATCTCACACACACACACACACACACACATTCCCTTTGTCATTTATACTAGTACACTTACCCCCAACACACGATTTGCACTGTTTTGAACTAAGAAATAAATGTGTTTCCCCTTTTCTCCCTTCTCAGATGGTCACCCTTATCCGCTGAGCACCCCAGGAATGAACCATGGGCCCCTCCACTATTAACGAATTACTGCCCAACTCCCTTGTAGGCCTTGCTGCAGACACCACCTCTCTGCCCGCAGGCTGAGGTCACTGCGGGGTCCTGCCTCATGAAGGAAGGCACCTATTAACTCTGCTGTGACATGAACCCCCCCCTCCCAGAAGAATGTGGAGAGCTGAGGTTAAAAAGGTAGGGGTGGAGGGGGGGTCCTGTTTCTATGTCCTTTCCCCCTGATCCTTGGAGATTACACTTGAAAATCACTCAGCGTCTTCAAGGTGTCTCATTAAATTCTCTATGAGCTATCAGAAATCATTTTGAGGTAGTCCTGGCTTTCTTCCTGGGTAAGTAACAGCCCTCAGCCACAAAGGAACAAAGTCATAACCCCAAGAAGACACGTACAGATCCCATGCTTTCAAATGTGAACCTCATAATCCGTATTAAAATACTTTTGAATGTCTAGAATGTGGAATCAAAGAGAATGAATCACTAGGCACTGGTAGCTCACACCTGTAATCCTAGCTACTCAGGTGGCTGAGATCTTAGGATCACAGTTCAAAGCCAGCCTGCGTGGGAAAGACTGTGAGACACTTATTTCCAATTAACCACCAAAAAGGCTAGAAATGGAGCTGTGGCCCAAATGACAGAATGCCAGCCTTGAGTGAGAAAGCTAAGGGACAGTACTCCGGCTCTGAGGATAAGCCCCAGGACTGGTACAAAAGAAACAGAAACAGACAAGACGGAATCATGGTAAAACTGAAACTCTTCAATGTCTCTTAAAAAGAGTGAAGAGTAACAAAAGAAAAAGCTATTAATACCTGACTCCATGAGGAAACACACTTGAAGGTTCATGTATTTCTTGTCTAATATATCAAAACTTTTCCATTTTCTATTTGAGAAGTGTATTGTAGTATTTAGGTGGCAAAGTTTTGCCAAAGAGGGAATATGACTTATTGAGTTTTTAGGAACAATTCCTGTGGCTTATGCTTGAAACAGAGCATTTATGAAAGCTATTAGAAAGTACCATAGCCATCATAGTTTATCAAAGTCATAGTTAATAAGGAAACTTACAGGGCTAGAGGCCTAACTCAGGGACAGAGCGCCTGCCTAGGAAGTATATGACTCTGACGTGATGCCCCAGTACCACTAAAAAGGTTGAGCGAAGTTAATCACAGGCTCAGAGCAACAGAGAGCCATGTTTTCTCCCGTATAATGAAGTTAGACCTAAAACATCATCATATTAAACATATACAGGGTCAAATGTATACATACAGGATCAGATCATGGCATATGGTTTGTGTACATCTTTGAATAATCAAGGGCAGTTTAACAAAATGAATACTAGGAACCTGTGGGGTCAGGGGGTGGGGTTGGGGTGGGGCAATGAAGAGAAGGACAGTCGAGTACCTAACTTTTGTGCTTGAGAACGCAAGTAGGAAACTTGAGGGCATGGGTAGGGAGAGAAGTGGAAGAACAATGGAAGAGGGGTCACTAATCAAGACACACTGTACACATAAGTGTGTAAGATTATTTAAAGATATTTTTTAATTCCAACAAAAGTATTACAAAATTTATAGTAAGGGCCGAATGATTTGAGACCATAAGAGCAACCTGTGTGTGTAAGAAAAATTTTAAATATGTTTTATGTCTGAATGCAAAGACAACTAACTTTTGAAGTAAATATGCTACCATCAAAATAAAAACTGGCCGGGCACCAGTGGCTCACACATGTAATCCTAGCTACTCAGGAGGTTGAGATCTGAGGACTGCAGTTCAAAGCCAGCCCACGCAGGAAAATCCATGAGAGTCTTATCTCCAATTAACCACCAAAAAGCTGGAAGTACAGCTGTGGCTCAAGTGGTAAAAATACTAGCCTTGAGCAAAAAAGGTAGCATCCAAGCCCTGAGTTCAAGCCCCAGGATCAGTACAAAAACAACCTGTAGTTCCCTCAAGATCTAGTTACATTTCTTTTTACATAAGCAGCAGAAAAGAATTAAGGTTAGTTTATAAATAAGTATCTAGCAAGCAATTTACATAATAAACTGACTAAGAAAAATGTCATGTTTCCTACATCAGTAGTATATTTATTATGCTGAAATCAAGTGCTGGGAAAGAAGCTTTTCAACTAATACAGAATGTTCGTAAAGAATTACAAATCTCTAGTCATTACACACTGGGAGTGAGACGCGGGTATGGAATCTTACAAACTTATCATCTGTGCTCCAACTTTTAGGTAATTTTCATGACTACATGCCTTGCAGGGGAAAGTATGTCATGTTAATGCACAATAAATATTTTATAGCTTTACAAAATAGCGTCAAAGAGTTTGTACAAATAGCATACATCTTACCCATGCAGGTTTTACATGTTTGTTGAGATACTTAGAAATATTCATGCTATTTTTGTCACATTTTTCTCTTTCCATAAAGATCCCTGTGACATCGTCTCCTAAGGAACAAATTGGTGTTAGTCAGTTCTTTTCTACTTTACTTCCAGTTGCTCATTCTTACTACGTGAAATATTTCACTTGCAAACAGAAAATTTAACTTGATCAGACTGCTCTCAGTTTTTTCATCTTTTCTTTTAACAATAAATACTTTGTAACATCCAGCACTGAAGTGAACAATCATTAGCACCAAGGAGTCAAGACAATTGCACCAAGAAGATAGGTTTACACTTCATATCTCATTAATAAATAAGACGTTGCAACTTAGTCACATGGGAAGTATCACTCCCAAATTAAATATACTGACAGCACAGATAAAGATTGACAAAAAAAATGTTGGGTGTATGCTATTTGTAAAGCTATACATATATACATATATAGACACACACATATATATATATATGTATATATTTCTCCAAGGAATTGTAAGTTAAAACGAAAGTTAAAATTTACATTAGAAGACTCCTTGATATTTTTAAATTAAAATTTATTTCATTTTAAATGTTCTTTCCAACAGAAGAGGTAGGTATATTTCCACATATGAAAAATCAATAACAGCCGCAAATCAAAACAAGGAAAGCCTGATAAAAATCAACATGCTCTCAGATTTCTAACTGTACATGAATGTAACTATTTTATGATGTCACTAGTAAGATATGAGTTGTTTCATGTTTCAATCAGACAATAATCTTAACTTTCATAATAGATTTTTGCTAATGATATGACTATTCAAAGGCTGCCTTTTCATCAAAAAGAAAAAAAAATGTTTCCCACAATGATTTGTGCCACGCATCTGGTGACCTGCAGGTCACTAGGAAGGGATCTTCCTGGTCTTTCGTATTTTTTCACCAACACCATCATCATCAAGCCTCTAAGATTCTACAGAGATCAGCAGATTTTAAAAAATTTAATTACGACCAAAAGGGTATCTTCTAACTACAGAGGTGGAGAGAGCTGAACATCATGGACAAGAAACAAATTCAAATGCACAAATTCAAATGTCGCCATACACATTTCCATCTTTGGGCAAGAAAATGGAAGGTAATTGATTTTAATTAGTAAGTACCATTGGGAAGTTAACTAAAATAAAAAAAATTCATAAAGGTTGTGTTTCTGTGATCATCTAAAAATCCAGACTGAAGGATGAGTGACTGTGAGACACATGAGACCTTCACCCATCCGACGAGTGGACGTGAGTGACGGGAACATCCAAAGCCACAATAAGACTGCTTTGGTATGGATAAGATCAAGGCTAATAAAAAAAAAGGTCTAAAATAAAAACTTTATAAATAAAACATCTGGGTATTGTATGGAATACTTTACTCAGTCTAAAGGTTTCTAGTACACAGAGCACATTTGCCTTTTCTCCCCACCCCAACCCCTCTTCTTCTGATGTCCCTGAAATTGTATGTGACATAGGCGTTTTCTCACTGCTAAGCACAGTTAAGGCCCCGTTCAATTTACTCTCCTTTTGCCTTTCCATTTCTCTGGCTTTTGCCATTTTCTAACACTAGCTGTTTTTCTGCTTTGCTCACACCATTGGCTGCAATACCATTCGTGGCTACTTTCCCATGTTTGGCTTGCTTAGGCTCATTGTATGTCCGCACGTAGAAGTTGAGGAAGAGGAATATGAAGCTGATGGCATAGGCGATGAGGGCCCAGTGCATCCACTTGGGAAAGGGGCAGTCAGTGTACAGAGACAGCGCCGTGTGTCCAATGGTCACATGGAACTGGACCTGGGAGACAAAAGCAACAGGACTGGATTAACAGCCTTCATCCCACAGGTAACATAGCACCAGAACCTTCTACAGACTATCACGGGCCCCATTTATGGGCATATGTTTGAAAAGCTTAATGCTTTCTTGGTTGTATCTCATTCAGGTCACAACTCGAATGCCATCGGCCTAGCAAGGGCTTCCCAATAAACCAATGTGTATGCCAGTCCCCAAGCCACAGACAGGTCGGGGTTCGTTGAGTGCTATAGCAGAATTCTAATTCTCTCAAGTTGTCTTTTGGGATTCTTCACTGGCCGTCTTTCCATTAGACTAGAACTCCAGAAGGCAAGCCTTTGTCCTGCTCACTGCTGGACCTGGCACCAATTTGGACTCTCTAAATATCTGTTGAAAATTGCTATTCTAATGAGAGAAAATCAATGGCTTGGAAAAGAAAAGCAGTCATACTAAAGGTCTTCCTCCTATATTTGAGACTGATTTTTTTCCTACCAAACTGTCAACAAGCAAGTACATACACTTTCAAAAACCAAACTCACCAAAAAGATTCATTTCTTGTTTCATACAGAAAGTACACAGGAGAATTTTAATTTAAATGAACAGTTTTTAAAAACTAATATTCTGCCTACAATTCACTGGGATTTGAAAATAAGGATAAAAACAGAGTTTTCAATTTTAAGAGTTCTTAAAAAGAGAAAATCCCAAAACTGAGATGCTCAAAATAAGACTCTAAATTCTAAAGTAGCAGTAAGTCAGTGGTTTCTGATATTAAGAATGGCAAAATCTGCAGCCAGGCACTTGGTGGCTCACTTGTAATCCTGACTACTCAGGAGGCTGAGACCTGCCTATACGCAGTAAAGCCCATGAGATTCTTATTACCAATTAACCAGCAAAAAGCCAGAAGTAGAGGTGTGGCTCAAGTGGCAAAGTACCAGCCTTGAGATTTTAAAGGCCACATGAGAGTTCAAGCCCTGAGTTTAAGCTCCAGTACCAGCACTAGTAAAAATAATAATAATAATAATAATAGCAAAGTCTATGGTATTTATAAGTATCAACTGTTCTGAGAACTTCTGGCTTAGACAAATTCAACATCGAATTTGGAACAGGCCATTATGGCTTCTTTCTCATTATCAAATCTTAATGTTATATTGAATATTATTAAAATAATTTATTCTACATATGCAAGAAATTTGTATGGAGCAGCTTTTACAATTCCCATGGCAAAATTCCAAATGTTCAGAACTTCTGGTTTCACAATGGTGCTGGGCACCTGCACTGGGGCAAAGGGTATGTGCAGGGTGTAACTCACGAGGAGCCAGGGGAGCGGTCAGCCCTCCGATGCCTGCACTACTAACAGATGAGGGAAAGGAATGACACATGCTGTGTAAACAGCTGCTACAAGCCTGGAGGAAGCTTCCTGACAGTTCATGACAGAAGTGACTCCTGAGACCCACCCCTGAAAGCTGTGCTTCCTGTTTGGTTAGGCAGGTGTCAGCAACATTAAGGTAGATGTGGATATTTCCACATGTGATTCCACTGATAAAACTGTGTACACTACAAGTCGTTATGTCGAAAACGAACTTTACAACTTTGGGGGGGGAAGGTTTGGGTACAGGAAGGGGGAGGATGGGAAGGGATGGGAAGGGGAAACAAAGGAGGAGGCTACAATGCTTGATAAGAAATGTACTCATTATCTTGCCCATGTAATTGTAACCCCTCTGTACAGTATTTTCACAATAAAAAAAACTGTGTACACTATGATTAATGCAAATTATAATAAACTCTAAAGCTTGGAGATTAATGACTAGCCAGAGCGGAGCTCTGAATGGCGCTCTGATGCTGTCAGAAGACACCAAAAGTCTGTCTAGTCTGTCTGCTAAAAGTGTCTGATCTGAACACAGCATTTGAACACAGTGCAGAGAGTGAAAAGGTATTGTCTGGCCCTAATACTTTCTTTATTAAATGCTTCTTCTCAATGTTACATTCCAAGTTTATGGGACTGAAAAAGGGAGTAAAACCCAGAAAATTTAAGCAAGGACAAGATGAAGAAAGAGGCAAATTTTAAGTTAAAAAAATTATTTAAGCTGGTGGTTTACATCTGTAATCCTAGCTACTCAGGAGGGTGAGATGAAGATTATGGTTCCAAACCAGCTCAGGCAGGAAAGTTCATGAAACTTTTCTTTTTTTTTTTTTTGGGGGGGGGGGGGGGGGTCTGGTCGTGGGGCCTGAACTCTGGGCCTGGGTGCTGACCCTCAGCTCTTCAGCTCAAGGCTAGTGCTCTACCACTTGAGCCACAGTGCCACTTCCGGCTTTTTTTTCTTTTTGCTTATGTGGTGCTGAGGAATCGAACCCAGGGCCTCAGGCATGCAAGGCAAGTACTCTACCACTGAGCCACCTTCCCAGCCCATGAAACTTTTCTTATCAGCCACCAGAAAGCCTGAAGTGGAGGTGTGGCTCCTATAGTAGAGTGCCAGCCTTGAATGAAAAAGCTAATTGAGAGAACCCTGCTCGGGTTCAAACCTCAGTACCGGCAAAAAAAAAATATATATATATATATTTTTCAATGATAGTGTTTGAGGATTACAGGTTTGAGCCATCAGCTGCTAGAGGTATTTTTAATGACTGTGTCTCTTAACAGGAAAGTGCTGGGTCTAGTTTTTTTAATCAGGTTACCATGGCCAATAAAGCCACGTATAGGAAATGCTACAGTAGCCTGAGGATACATTTTATGATGAAAAACTGTCCAGTCTTATGATTCATAAAGCATCTGGCACTGTAGACAGCTGCATGGGTGAAAGGAGAAGGAGCTGTGAACTCACGAGCTGCAGCATGGTGAGGTACCGCTTCCACCACAAGTACTTCTGGATCCAAGGGCCAAAGGCCGTGAGTCCGTAATAGGAGTACATGATCACATGGATGAAGGAGTTCATCTGGGCCCCAAAAAATGCTGCAGAGAAACAAGGGAAAATTCCAAAACATAGAAAACGTTAGTAGGTCATGAGATACTAAGTAAAACATAAAGGAATTTCACTTTATTTTCTAACATTTAATCTTGAGTATGGATGAAAACCCATCCTCTCAAATTAAACTGGATCTTTTTTAAAGTTTAGAGTTGAGTTTTCTACCCTAAAAATTAAACGTGTATATTGTTTGGCCAGGCAACAATGGCTTATGCCTGTCATCTTAGCTGATAATCAGAAGACTGAAATCTGAGGACTGCAGTTCAAAGTCAGCCTAGGCTAGAAAGTCTGGGAGACTCTTAGCTCTAATTAATCACCAAAAAAGCTGAGAGTGGCAAAGAGCCAGCCTTGAGCAGCAAAGCTCAGGGACAGTACCCAGGCCTCGAGTTTAAGCCCCAGGACCAGAACCAAAAGAAAAAAAAAGAAAGCAAGGTATATTTTTCAAGTGCAAAGAGCTTTCAAAATGGTAAATTCCAAGTGAAGTATGTCAGTAAGCTGAAGTTTGCTTTAACATAAAAATACTGCCTATATGACTTCTGCTTCTAATATTGTTCAGGACAAAAGTTATAGTACAAAGCCAGGCACCAATGGCTCGTTCCTGTAATCTTAGCTACTCAGAAGACTGAGATCTAAGGATGGAGATTCAACGTCAGCCCAGGAAGAAAAATCCATGAGACTCATCTCCAATTAACCACCAGAAAGCCAAAACTGGAACTGTGGCTCAAGGGGTATAGTAAAAAGCTGAACACCCCGGCCTTACACACTCATTGCCAAAGCCCTGAGTTCAACCCCCGATACTAGCTTGAATAGCTTATAGTACATCTAAGTGTTTAAGTAGATTTGTAAATGCTTTGTTACTGCTGTTAGATGTGTAAATATGCATACCAATGACAAAATGCTACTCATTTCTTGGGTTCCCATAGCTTTGAATATAATGGCAGTGCACGCTCTGAATGCTCTATTTAGTATATGCCTATCTACAGAGATATTCCAGTTAGTCAAAATCAATAGTATTCTGTTCAGAATATTCATCAAATCCAAGTATAGAGGTAATCAGGAAGCTTGACATGGAGTGATACAAGGGTCAGTCCAGACTTACAAATGTCTTTTACGTTCAGTTTGACTGTAACTGTATGATCTTGTACCAAGCCTCTGATAATAATTCCTAAGTATGAACTGCCTATGTCATCAAGTGCCACAAATCAACAGAAACCCGTTTCCCAGGACAACTCAAACCCAAGTCCTCACCCGAGGAGGATCAATGTAAGCCATACTTGACCTCCAGGCATGAGAAGACTGCAGGCCTGTGCTGGCCAGACCGCAACCACTTTAGCATGGATGGCATCACACACAGCTTCATTTCCGGACCGCAGGTACTGCTGCAGCCCAGGCAGCTCCAGGAAAGAACTTGGAAGAAGCTTTGTACTGCAAGTTTGCATGTGGGTGTCCTTTGCATCAAAACTATTGTGGTTATGTGCATTTCTGGGTAAATTTTTAGTAGTTAAGAGGTTTTAACGGATTTTTTTTTTTTTGCCCAGTTGTAGGGCTTGAACTCTGGGCTTGGGTGCTGTCCCTGTGCTCTTCATCTCAAGGCGAGCGCTCTACCGCTTGAGCCACAACGCCACTTCTGGCTTTCTAGTGGTTTATTGGAGATAAGAGTCTCACAAACTTTCCTGCCTGAGCTGGCTTTGAACCGTGATCCTCAGATCTCAGCCTCCTGAGTAGCTAGGATTACAGGTGTGAGCCACCAGTGCCCAGCTTAACCAATTTTTTTTAAGTGAAGCTTTTCTTTCTCCAAAAACAAATTTTTTAAAGAACTGAACATGAATGAGTCACTACAAAATTTTCAATAGTCAACCAAGTTCAACAAAACACTACACAAACTCCAACCTCTTACTATGAAAGCAAGCTCAAGGCTAGGCCAAGTAAACTCCACGTGTTTCCTCTGTGTGTGTGTGTGTGTGTGTGTGTGTGTGTGCGTGTGTGTGTGTGTGTGTGTGTGTGTGCACTTTCCTGCCTGGGCTGGCTCTGAGCCCAGAACCTCAGATCTCAGCCTTCTGAGTAGCTGGGATTACAGGCATGAGCCACTGGTGCCCAGCTTTGACCCAACCTTTTGCATAATCTGATACGCACAGATGCATTCCTTACCTTGTCCCCCTGCAACCCACTTAATTCCAATCCACCACAGTGTGAACATGGTACAGTGATGATACACATGGAGGAAAGAAACTTGGTTGTTTTTCTTCCTCAGGATAAAAAACACTGTGTCCAAATACTCCACTCCTTTAGACACAAAGTACCACCACAAGGCAGCGGCTATCTGTAAAAAAGATGGAAAGGATGTTATAAGCTCCAAACATTGTATTATTGTGGCTTATCCCCAGAGTTAGTAAGTCTAAGATACATTATACAGCCAAGTGTACGGATGTCACATCTTTTTTTTTTTTTTTTGGCATGAGTAGGTTTGAAGCCGAGGCATCTATTATGAAAGAGAATTCCACACTATCTCTGCAGTACCAATAAACTAGAGAAGGTTTGCAGATTACACAGGTGGATGCACACTTACAAATACAATAATGCTGCTCTGCTTTCCAATCTGGCAGAGAAATGTAAATGTCTACTTTTTAAAGACATTTCAAGCATGCATGGGTACATAACCCCTACCAAACTTCAGATAAAGTAATTGGTCTCTAACTAATGTCTGCCTATGGGTCCTATTGTGGCAGTTTGTAGCAAATAGTTTTAAAAGTCTTTAAAATGATCAGACAGATACACAAAACAAATATTCCCTAGGTCATTAATATAATCCTGCTTACAGGGAGTAAGTCTTTTCTTTTCCTGGGCTCTAATTAAGACACCAGATGGTGCAGAAAGATTATATTACACTCTGAGAGGAGGGATCTGCAGGAGGTGACCTCCGAAGAGGCGGTCAAGATAAGTAGATGGGATGAGTGATCTTATTTTAACAGTAACTGAAAGTTACTTCTTTAAAAAGGAGGTATTTTCATACACATCATATGTAAAAATAACCACCAGGTTGGCATATTAACTGCTATCCATTTATACACCTTTGTGTGTTAGGGGTGTGACAGATTCACTCACAGACAGGTATAGATGTATCAGAGTTGAAAAACATCCTTCCTCACTTTATAGCTCCATCTAGTGATGCCATGAGTTTTGTTGTATGTTTTTTTTTTTTTTTGGGGGGGGGGGGTTGCTGTTTAGATCAAAATGACAATTTTATTTTTTGTATTGATGTTGGGGAATGGGATGGACCTTGGGCCTGTTTCAATTTAAAGATCATAACTGGCTTTATTTTCAAACCTGGAATCAAGCAACTCTACAATCCATAAAATCCAACAAGTATTCCCCAAAATTACAATTTTAAAGCATAGAGAGGAAGTAAGGAGAAAGACCAAAGTCTTGTGTTTATTGATTGTCATTTCCTGACAATAATAGGTTGAGCTAGGCACCAGTGGCTCACACCTGTAATCCTCACTACTCAAAAGGCTGAGATTTGAGGATCGAGGTTCAAAGGCAGCCTGGGCAGGAAAGGCCATGAGATTTTATCTCCAATAAACCACCAGAAAACCAGAAGTGGCGCTATGGCTCAAGTGAACAGAGCCTAGCCTTGAGCTGAAGAGCTGAGGAACAGTGCCCAGGCTCAGAGTTCAAGCCCCACAACCAACAAATAATAATAATATTAATAATAATAGGTTGAAAATAGGCTTTAAATAGTTTCCGAGCATGGATGCTATACTTAATATTCATTATGATGTTAATACTTTTAAAATAAATGAAACCATTTTGGCATAGAAAATTCTAGGATAGAGACAATGTCTTATTTTTTCCTCCACTTGTGCCTGTAAGCTAGCCACAGTTCATTTATAATAATAAATGGTTCTCCTAGTTTTCGAATTACATTATGTTTGTTTCTGCTTTGTTTTTGTTTGTTTGATGTTGTTTGCGCTGGTACTGGGCTTGACTTCAAGATCTAGGTATTGTCCCTCAGCTTTTCTCAAAATGCTGGTGCTGGAGCCAAAGCCTTACTTCTGGACTTTGGTTGCAAACTGAAGATAAGAATCTCTCAAATTTGGGGCTGGGAAGGTGGCTCAGTGGTGGAGCGCTCGCCTTGCATGCTAGAGGCCCTGGGTTTGATTCCTCAGCACCACATAAGCAAAAAGAAAAAAGCCGGAAGTGGTGCTATGCCTCAAGTTAGCCTTGAGCTGAAGAGCTGAGGGTCAGCACCCAGGCCCAGAGTTCAGGCCCCACACCGGACCCAAAACAAAAAAAAAAAGAATCTCTCAAATTTGTCTGCCCAAGCTGTCTCAAACAGGGATCCTCAGATCTCAGCCTGGATTACCGGCATAAGCCACTGGTGCCCACCTAATATGAAGCAATACACAGCAGTTCACTAAATACTAATTAAAATGATTTATTGTTTCTTCCACTTATATTTCATGGTAACTTAAAACACATTACTAAACATTATAAAACATGTTACTAGTAATTTTTCTACAAATTTAATAAAGACCAAGTTTACCTATACAAACTACTGTTTAATTTCCTAAATATCATCTGGTTTATAACATGTTTTCCTCAGATTTTTCTTACCAAATGAGTTAAATTCTCTTTCTGATTTTTCTATCCTTGACTCCAAACAACAAAAAGTCAAAAATAAGAGGCTGGGAAGGTGGCTCAGTGGTAGAGCGCTTGCCTTGCATGCATGAGGCCCTGGGTTCGATTCCTCAGCACCACAAAAGCAGAAAAAAAATAAAGCCGGAAGTGGTGCTATGGGCTGAAGAGATGAGGGACAGCGCCCAAGCCCAGAGTTCAGGCCCTACAACCAGACCCCCCCCAAAAAAGTCAAAAATAATATTTTTACATAACACATGTAAAGTACTACATATTTACTCACACTGCCAAATAAAAAAACATACTGGTGGTATGAAAACAGGTTTTAAAAGAGACAGACAGAGACAGAAAGATTGAGAGATTGAGGACAAAGAAAAAAGGATCAAGAGAAAGAGGGATAGCTAGAATTTTATTGACTCCAAACAACTCAGCATAATTCTAAAATCATATTGAAGTATAATTTTTACCCTTGTAATTAAAATAGTTACTGGAGCGAGGGAAGGGGTGACATTGTCCAAATGACTTACATAACTGTACCTTCTGTACATTATCTTTATAATAAAATTTTTAATTATTAAGATATGAACAGTATTTTAGCATACTTACTCTGACTTCATTAACATTATTGGAATAGTCTACAGTCTGGCAAATATAGCTGTAGCCTGCATTATATGATCCCATGAACAACTGCAAGAAAAGAAGAATATTCAAAGTTTTATTAGCTACAGTGTTAAATACCTTCAACTTGATAAAGCAACTTCTCAAATTATTTTTAAAGTAATATCCTCTTTCAAAAGTTTTCACATCCATTGATTTTTGATTTTTTTTTTATTTTTTTTGATTTTTTTTTGATTTTTTTGATTTTATTTTGATTTTTTTTCCTTTCTTGTCAGGCTGTGGGTCACACCCAGGCCTCCCTCCACCTGCTAGGCAGGGGCTCTCCCCTGAGCTCTACCTCACCCTTGAAACATTTAATGCGCTGGAATTTCTAACTGTTATGGTATGTCAACTCTGTTCTAAAATTGCAATATATACTAAAAATCAAATGTAATCTTTGGAGCAAGACATTATCTGCACCCACTTCATAATGCTAAGCGAACTTTCCATAGCCATGATGTAGATCCAAGAGTTTTCCTACCTTAATTCACATCTAGTCTCTACCAGAATAGTCATAGCTAACAAAGGTATCCAAACTGGGTAAACTAATTGGCACTCCATAACCCAGAGTGGTCTCAAACTCCTGACTCTCCTGCCTCTGTCTCCCAAATGCTGGGATTACAGGCATGTGCCATCACACCTAGCTTCTGTAGACTCTTATAGCAGAAATGGCTCTACAAGGTGCACCAATGGCTCACACCTATAATCCTGGCTATTCAGGAAGCTGAGATCCAGAAGATCAAGGTTCGAAGAAACCTTGATCATTCAAACCTTGAGATTCAATTCAGTCACAAAAAACAAGAGTACTGTCAAGCTGGGTGCCGGTGCTCCATGCCTGTAATCCTAGCTACTCAGGAGGCTGAGATCTGAGGATCACGGTTCAAAGCCAGCCCAGGCAGGAAGTCCGTGAAACTCTTATCTCCAATAAACCACCAGAAAACCGAAGTGGTGCTGTGGCTCAAGCGGTAGAGCGCTTGCTTTGAGCTGAAGAGTGCAGGGACAGCACCCACGCCCAGAGTTCAACCCCACGACAAAAAAAAAAAAAAGAGTACTGCCAAGTAAACTCAAGATCCTAAGTTCAAAATTCAGCACTGAAAAAAAGGCTGTGCCAAACTAGCCTTTAGATTTCCTTTATACTTGGGCAATTTGCTAGCATCCAAAAAAGCAGGACAGCTAGTAACAATGACAAGAGGGCTCCTTTGGGATGTGTAGGGTTGGCCTATAGTAGAGAACTTGCTTTGCCCTGGGGTCCTGGGCCTCCCCCCAGTATTAAACAAACAACAACAAAAAAAAAACCATAAAAGAAGACATGGATGACAGTTAACTAGTTTGAGTTCCCCATAAAATACAGCAAAAGTACCTAAGAAGATTAAACCTGAAATTGGTATTTACTTCTTTATATTTAAATCTGTTATCCAAGCCTGAGACTAAATAAGGATTTTAAGTAAGTAATTGCTTTAAAAAAAATTTTATGGTGGTAATGAGGTTTGAACTCAGGACCTCACACTTGCTCTGCAGGTGTTTGGCTGCTTAGTAAGCACTGGACCAACCACCAAGATAAAAATGTCTCAACTTTACTTCTAACAACCTGAGATGGTTCATATGTAGCTAACAGTTATCTTGGGATCCAAGACTGCAATACAGTTCAGCAGTAACCCTGGAGAAGTGTCACACGGTGACCTTCATAGACTTACCTCTCTGAAGATGAAGAGGTTAAGTAAAACCATCCCGAAATTATAGACGATGAGCACAAAGCGCATCTGAAATGGCTCCCTGTCCTTCATCCACTTTGGACCCAGCCACACGAACAGGAGGTAGAGAGTACTTATGCTCAGCGTGGGCCAGGGGGACTGCATCAGAGGCCAGTCTTCCACTCGTTTATCTGCAGGGAAGGAGACACAGCACTTCACTCAGCAACACGTGTGTTACAAAACCAAGCTTGGAGAAAGGAAGAGTGTGTTCACTTAAGTTCCTACTTCCACCACATACAAGCTCCAGTGACATAAAAACCAAAGACACAACATTGAGTCCCACAAGTTGCTTTTGAAAATTGTTGTGGGTGCTCATGTTGTAAGTTGTGTTTTATAGAGAACTTGAAAAATTAACACAAGAACTAAAGGGCTCTTAAAAACACAGCAGAGGCCGGGCGCTGGTGGCTCACGCCTGTAATCCTAGCTACTCAGGAGGCTGAGATCTGAGGATCGCGGTTCAAAGCCAGCCCGGGCAGGAAAGACCGTGAGACTCCTATCTCCAATAAACCACCAGAAAACCGGAAGTGGCGCTGTAGCTCAAGTGGTAGAGCGCTCGCCTTGAGCTGAAGAGCTGAGGGACAGCGCCCAGGCCCAGAGTTCAAGCCCCACGACCAACAAAAAAAAAAAAAAAACACAGCAGATACTCTTGAGATGAAAAGTTCATGAGACTGGGTACTGATGGCTTATGCCTGTAATCCTAAACTACTCAGGAGGCTGAGACCTGGAGGATTATGGTTCAAAGCCAGACTGGGTAGAGAAATCCATGAAATTCCATCAACTAACCTGCAAAAGGCTGGGCTGAGGGCATGGCTTAAGTGGTAGAGTATCAGTGGGGCAAACCCTAGCATAAGAGAAGGGAGGGAGGGAGGGAGGGAGGGAGGGAGGGAGGGAGGGAGGGAGAGAAAGAAGGAAGTTGGAAAAGAGGGAGGAAAGGAGAGAATGGGGGAAGAGAAAGAGAAAAATGATGTTGTAGACTGAAAATACATATTTTAAGGCAACCCACTGTTACATGGGAAACTGGTCAGTATGTCAAGTGCATACTGGAAATTGCATTTATCTCTAATGCCAGTTAGCAATAAGATAGAAGAAATAATGAAAATAAAAATGCAGTTCTACTGAGGGACAGAAGTGTTCCCTACAATTCAACTCAATGGTAATAAGATTCAAGATTTTACTTTTCCACTGAGTACATGCATCTATTTACTCTCCCACACATAGTCAATTTGTGTGCTTAAAACTTACATGTGTGCAAATATGATTAACCACATGATCCTGGGTATCTATAATATTCAAATGAATATTCAAATGAATTAAGGTAATTGCCGATGACAAGAAAGCCCTATTTAAACTGTCTTGTTGACTAAAACTATGCATATGCAAAATGGTTCTGGGTTAAAAAACTTAGCACTAAAATATCTTATTTAAAACATACTAATGTAGGTGTGGCTAGGAGAGTACCTCGGTGGTGGAATGCTTGCCTACCATGCGAGGCCCTGGTTCTAACTCTAGCACTGAAAAAATGAGGTGATGGAAAATAAAACACAAACCATTAAGACACACCTAATTAATCTCCCAAATCAGGAAGTTTCAATGAAACTCGTTAAAAAGCTGAGATCCTTCTGACTCAAGCAGGAGGATCACAAGTTCAAGGCCAGATGTATTATTCTTGGAGATCATTGTTCGATTGGTTGAATCAAACACATTCCAAAGTGAAAACACAATAGGACATGATGAGGATGGAGCGCTGACTTGGATCCGAGCCACCCCGGTTTTCTCAGTGACTGCTTACGGTTTAATGACATGTTATCCTTCCTTGTTAATTATTCTCCTATGACTGTATCTTCCTGAGTCAAAGGGCCTTCACTGATTTAGATAAACTCCTAAAGACTAAAGCTTTGTTCTAATCTGTTGTGTCTTCTCCACTAAAGTACACACTGTGAAGCAGAGGAAAAGCACTGTGAGTGGGGTCATCTCTGTAAGAAAGGAAGGAAGGTGAGTTCGTCTGGTCTCTCTCGTTATGGATGGTTTCTCATTCCTGGTCACATGGACGAATCCTACCCGCAAAGAAAGGTTTGAGCAGAAAGTAGGAGAAAAGAAAAGAGAATTAAAGAAAAGAAAAGAAAGAAGAAAAGGAAGGAAGGGAGGGAAGGAGGAGGGGAGGGAGGAGAGGAGAAGGGGGGAAGGGAAGGAGGAAGGAGAGGGGGAGGGAGGGAAGAATTAGGAAGGGAGGGTGGGAGGGAAAGAAGTCAGGCAAGGCAGGCTGGTTCATAATCTTGCCAGAAATTAAGAATTTTTAAAGAATATTTTTAAAAGTTTGTTCTGAGCTGAGGCTCTCCCACTGTAGTCCAGACTGGCCTTGAATGTGTGACCTCATCATCCCCGCTGCCTCAGCTTCCAAGGAGTGGAAATTGCGGCCATGTACCACCCTGCCCTGCCTGCTCTGGTTTTATCATGACTGTAATATTCTCTCGTTCAATAAGGACATTTAGAGAGGCCTATCAGAGCAGAGAGAGACCTGAATGAGAGGCTGATGGTCTCTCAATATAAATAGCGAAGGGCAGCCAACAGAAGAGTAAAGGCAAAGATGGAGGAAATAGAGGTATCAGAAAGGATGTGAGTCTATGGATGGGCAGACTGGCTGAATTCTATCTAGCACAGCCCTGCTGCTGTACAGAAGCCCCTGGGAGGCGGGGGGCACAAGAGTGTGCATTTTCTGGGAAGCTTCAACTGGATCCTTTGTCACCATCCCTGGACCACCCTAAGCAGTAAGAAGTTCAATCATCTCAGCCAGGCACCAGAGTCTCACGCCTATAACCCAAACTCATCAGGAGGCTGAGATCTGAGGGCTGCCAGTGTGAAGCCAGCCCAGGAAGACTCTGATCTCCAACTAACCACCAAAAGACCTGAAGTGGCACTGTGGCTCAAGTGGTAGATTGCCAGTCTTGAGCAAAATAGTTGAGGGTCAGTGTCCTGACCCTGAGTTCAAGTCCCAGTATTGGCACAAATTTTAAAAAAAAAATCAACAGTCTCATAGCCTATCACCTTCTGAAAGGCATATTTTGTATTTCAAATAATAATTAGGAGGAAGAGTGGGTTGAAGTTGAAGGAAACTAGACAGAGGAACTTGGCTTGGTCAGGAAACCAGTTTTGCACTTTGAGCCCCTTTCCTGTCCGGTTCCATCCCAGTGCTCATCACACGGCCCTAGACCTCCCCATTTCTGGAGCTATGTTCCAGATTGCAGGGGCATGGTCTTATATTCGGGGAGGGTGGGGAGGGTAGAAAGGGGAATGGTCTTATTTCAGGGGTGTGGTCTTGCAAGGCCTACCAAGGTGCCTGCACATCTACTAGCAGTAGAGAATGATGTTCACTATTTCCCTTTGGTCAAATCTAGCAGCCTAGTTGCTAACCATCTGGCTTCTTCAGTGCCAGCCGCTCTTCCCTGCAAAAGTGCAGGCACTTCAGCCTCCCGTCACCAACACCCATGTCTCAGAATGAGGCGCAGGTGCTCACTCACTAAGGCATCCTGTCACGTATGGCCTTGCTCACTCTATTGCTTCCCTTTTCCCCAGCAATGCAAGCCCTACATCCACTCAGCAACCACTGCGCAAATCCCTGCTTTCCAGCAGTAGAAGGCCACCCTGCTCAGAGCAGCCCTTCCAGTTCTTGAGAGTCAGATGAGCTCTTATGAGTCAGAGGCCGCTGGCATCACCGGGGTGCATGGGGTGCAGCCAGACTGACACCTACACCACAGAGGAACAATGCCCACCCAGGCAACTGGCACGGAACTTCTCCATGCCCCTAAGTGTGACTCCACAAACTGTGTGTGTGTTTCTGTATTTACTTGTGCCCTTACAGCTTCTGATGTGATTCAAATAGCCTATATCTGCTATGTCTTCTTTGCCACTAAAAAGGAAGAAATGAATGCAACAAACAACAGTCCCACATGAGAATTTGGACAAACACAATTACTAACAAGCTCCCCAAGACCTGAACATGATTGTTGGGGGACTAAAACAGTAAAGGAACATCATGAGCTGCAAAATTTTATGTACTTATATAGCCTTTGAATGCATTAAGATGATAAATTCCCCATATTTTCATTAATATGAATTTTGTTCTGGTACCAGGACTTTAACTCAGGACTATGCAGTCTTTCAGCTTACTTGCTCATGGTTGACACTCTACTACCTGAACCACACCTTCTAACCATGCTTTTTGCTAGTTAATTAGAGGTGGAGTCTCAGACTTTTCTGGCCAGGCTGGATCTGAAACTCAGTCATACATCTCTTAACTTCCTGAGTAGCTAGAATTATAGACATACATCACCAGTGCCTGGCTGCAAATATTTCAATATAAATATTTTAAAGTTAAATAAACTGAGTTGCATGTGTCCATATCCAATTGAAGACATACAATGGAAATATCAAAGATAAATCTTAACGTACTGTCAGTGTCCTAATGCTAAACTCTTATAGGTGGAATTCCATATCACAAATTTATCTGGACACCAAATGAAATTCTATCCTGTCTGTCATCAATGAAGTCAGACTCTCATCAAAGTGTGTCAAGATCCAAACGTGTTTCTGTAATGTTTGGGAATTCTCAGAAAGTTTTTCTGGGAAGATCAAAAATAACACAGATTAAACTGTTGTCAATTTGTTTTTTGAATTGTCCTACATCTGTACTTCATATTATGCTTACTGCACTGTAAGGTCTCAACGATTTTGCACTTGAGCCCATTTATTAATAGTTCTAAGCCTTTCATGTTGTCATGTAGGCCTTTACTAGAATTGCACATTTCAGCTTTAGGAATAATCCCTTTACACTGAAACTCATTTATACAACTATTAATGATCATTTTAAAGTTATATAAAATAATAAAGATTATAAAAAAGATAAAAGGAATGATCCCATTATCTTATCAAATGACCTTCTTAGGCGTCTTGTGTCTTGTGGATGCCACAGCTATTTTAGCAGCATTCATTCATTCAGTTATTTTAAGGGAGAAATTTCCTCTCCATTTATTTTTCTAAATACAGGTGCAAAAAACTGGTCTTTTAAGAGAAAAAGTAAATGAGAGACCTAGAAAAGTTCCCTTAGTAGCAGGACAAGACATACTCAAGCCAGCCA